TGTGGTCTCTTCCAACTCTATGATTCTATGATTCTATGATTCTTGATTTTCTTTCCCCATTTCCTCAAAGTAGCTACTTTTGAGGTACTTTTACATTTTGTTGTTATTGTTGTTATGTAGCTTCAAGTTATTTCTGACTTATGGCGACCCTAAGGTGAGCCTATCATGAGCTTTTCTTGGCAAGATTTGTTCAGAGGGGGTTTGCTATTGCTGTCTTCCAAGGCTGAGAGTGTATGACTTGCCCAGGGTCACTCACTGGGTTTACACGGCTGAGCTGAGATTCAAACTATGGTCTCCAGAGTCATTAAGATAATTTTTTAAAAAATATCTGAGCACTACAACCTGCAGGCCCATGAAACAAAACATGCTCTCTTCTGATCCCAGTTGTCACAGCACTCATAACAGAGCTAGCCAGTGGCTAAAGTGTTTTAAAAGTGTGATGTTATCACTCTTTAAATTATAATTGTAATCATAATGCATTTATTAATGAAAGTTTATTCAATTATAAATAACTACTTATTTGTGTTTAACAAACTATATGTTTTCATTAGTATTACTTCTTTAACACAACATTTGGTACCACAGCAGAAATAACAAGAAGAGGTAGAGAATTTCCTCACTACATACAAAAAAGAGTAGTTCAACACAATTCAAAAAAACTCTTTTATTGAAGATTAACCTTGAACACAAGTGAAATGAAACCAACAGTTAGGTAAGTCTCTCAAAAATAAACAAAAATATACTGAACCTTCTAGAGACAATATGAAAGAAAGCCTTCTTTCAAAATGTTGTGATGTCTGCCTTTTTTCTTTCTTTCTTATTTCAAGTAGCATCTCACTATAGCAATCTGTTGAAGTGCTTGGGCTGAGTCCCTGAAAATCCAAACAAAAAGGACTAATTCAATGGTACTCAACTTTTTACCTTGGGACACCCATTTACATGTGCATCTGGATTTTTTGGGGGGGGGGCAACATATATGAATAAAAATATTTTGGTTGTTTAGCATGCGTATTTTCATTTGCACATTCATGCATATTCATATTTTAACATTTTATAAGGAAATAACATCATTTAAATTAGAAAAGTTTTATTTAAGTAAATTCAAAATTCAACACACGTGTAAATTTTACAAATAAAGTTTGGGAAGAGAAGGAGGGATATTAGAGCCTCCAGGCCTTACACACACACACCCCTTGAACAACTCTTGTACCCCAGCTAGTGTGGTCAAAACCAAAGAGAATTAGACTGTAAAATCTGCAGAACTACAGGTTCCCAAGCAAGTACTAAAGCCTGTGAGTCTGCATCTTGCATATTCAGGAATCAAGGAGCAGAGATAGTATTGAATGACAATTTGTGACTCAAAGGGGACAAAGTCTGGACATGCTCAGGCTTAAAATTACACTTCTCTAGCGCCTCACTGGATGCTTCAATTTCCTCTGCTCAGCTCTATTAATTTTCTTCATCAGTGCATTAACCAAGAGAGCCAGTGTAATGTAATGGTTTGAGCACTGGACTATGACTCTGGAGACTAGAGTTCGAATTCCCACTCAGTTATGGAAACCCACTGGTGACTTTGGGCAAGTTACAATCTCTCAACCTTAGAGGAAAGCAAAGACAAACTCCCTCTGAACAAATCTTGCCAAGAAAATCCTGTGATAGGTTCACCTTAGAGTTACCATAAGTCAGAAATAGGTTCACCTTAGAGTTACCATAAGTCAGTTACCATAAGTCAGCTTTAACCAAATTCCCTCCTCCAGTGGGTACACTCTGCCTACATGGCTATAACACAAGCAGTTGCAAACCACACACAGCTACCAGATTAGCACACCTATAAGTTAGTGACTGTACTAGGTGGGTTACAGAAATCACCCTGAGGTCTTGCATGAGGCCACACAGAATGTCTTTCTTTCTCTGTCTTGTAATTAATGGGTTCTACCCCATCCTCTTAAAGTGTGAGCTAATCTTTTGTCAAGATAAAAATAAATTTGTAAGCACATCCATATGTATCATAGCTGCTTAACAAATGTACAAAGGTACTTGCAATTTGCAAATTTTTTATTCCTTAGCCAAAGGTCATCACTACAGAGTAATAACTTGGAAGAAAGTTAGATACTGATTTCTTTTGCTTGCTTGCTTATCACGTTAAATTCAGTGTTATCATTTCCCTCAGCATCATTACTTTTATGTACTGCACACATAAATATGCATAGTCAACAGTAAGTCCCACACCACTTGGAGTCAAACTAGGTGTGATGTTATTTAATATAATTGTGTGGATGTGAGTAAAATGCACTATTTTTCTAATACAAATAGCAGCCATCTGGAAGCCTGGGATGCCTTAGAACCCCAGCTATAAGCATTTCTTTATCTGATTTATATCCTCCTTTCTCCCATTATGGAACCCAAAAGAATCAATGGGTAGAGTTGGATGGGAAAGTTTGAACTCTTTCCTTCCATACTATAGCAATGTGCGGTTGTTGTGTGCCTTCATTTCTGACTTTCACCAAACCCTCTGCAAAAACAAACAAACAAAAAACCTCTTTGAAGCTGCTACTTTCATTTCAAGGGAAGTTCCCATTGTTACCAGTGGAGTATTCCCTTGAAATGAAAATTGTACAATCAGGTGTTTATTCATCTCTTCTCACAGGATCATCCCTATCTTTAGACAGAAGCAGTTGCCTCTGACAACAGATGCTATATGAAATGGAGGCAATAATGGCAGCACCCTGAATTGGAGGAGGGCAATAGAGGTAGCCAGAATCCCCCCTTTCAGGTGATGGAATAAAGTGCTCAGACAGCCTCTCCAGTATCATCTCAGCTAGAACTCAGATGGGGTGGAAGATGCTGTTCCATCACAAACCCTGAAATAAAATCCAATTGGAGATTTTAATTGGTTTCTAAGGCTGGAATGGGAAAGAAAACCATCTTCTCTTTTGCACCAAGGAACACTGGTGGCGCAGTGGTTAAATGCCTGTACTGCAGCCACTCACTCATAGACCACAAGGTTGTGAGTTCAATACTAGCCAGGGCTCAGGCTAGACTCAGTCCTTTATCTTTCTGAGGTCGCTAAAATGAGTACCCAACTGTTGGGGGGCAATGAGCTTACAGTTGTAAACTGCTTAGACATCCCATAGCGTGATATGAAGTGGTATATAAATGAAGCTGCTTTTGGGCCACAACCCTCCCCATCCCACCATCCCTAAAGTGCTTGGTTACATTTAAAAATCTCATGCATGCCAATTAAAGTCACACAGTTAAACATCATATTGTCTTTTATTTTCAATGGAATTCACAAGTATGAACAGCAGCCCTGGGGCTGAATTCCAGGTTTAAATGTTATTGTTACTGATAAAACGAGAAACTCTTTTTCTTTCTTACAAGGAGTTGTGAAAGGAGTGACAGAAACAATGTTTGAAAAGGGGTAAAAACAACAACAATGGTCTCCTATCCATGAAGTTTTGAGTACATGCACCCTGAACTGGGGACACCATCTGCTGTTCTGATAAAAGCAGCAAAACTTCTTAGGGGACCCAGTTTCCTGACCTCCAGCCACACAACCATCATCTCTAAATAGCAGCCCTCTCTTCACCTCTTCTGCATAAGGCAGGATTGGGATCTGCTCTTGTTATGTGCCTTCAAACAAGGTTTGAAAGGGGGTAAAAGGTTTGAAAGGGGATGTGATTTATAGTATATCTGTGTCTGATTTATGGCAACCCTATCACAGAGTTTTCTTGGCAAGAATTGTTCAGAGAAGGCTGCCTTTGCTTTCCTGAGACTTGACCAAGGTCACTCAAAGGGATTCCATGGCCAAGCAGGGTTTGAACCCTGGTCTTCAGAGTGTTAGTCCAGTGCTCAAACCACTACACCAGCCTGGCTCTCTATTGGGACCTACACTGCCAAGAAACATTCAGAAGAGGATGGCTGGTTCTGTTGCTGTTTTCCTCCACTTGCAAATTAATACCAAACCCCACAAGTTTGAGAATAGTTTCAGAAAAAGCAGGCACAAGATTAGCCATTTTTGTGAGTCACAAAGACCATGAAGAAGGTAACTTACCTGCATTTCACTAAAAGGAACAAACTGCAAAAAAATTCTCCACACTTTCCCCCAGTGCTGACAAATGTTTTCATTCCCATGTAAACCCTCAAATGGCTTTCCCATAATAGGTACTGGATATATTTGTGAATGGCTTGGAATAAACTACAGAGCAGCTCTGTTTTGCAAGAGTCAAAGGTGTATTTATGACAGGTCTGGAGAAACAGGCAAAGGAATGCTTTTGTGACTCTTCAGACATCCACTATAGTTTAGATTTCTTTTTCATGTATGCCAGCAGCCAGAGGGCATGCCAGGTGAAATTTACAGCAGACAGAGCTAAACCCTAACTTGGCACTACACATGTGGTTTTCCCCCAGCCAACTCTATTACATTGGGTTAGAAAAAGAAAGGATGAGTAACTGTGATAGTGTGATAATAAAGTTTGCCAAAGTTGTAAGGTTAAATAACTAAGGGGTGTGGGAAAACACCTTTGCTGCAACATTTTAGATGTTATAGAAGACACATGTTTGTAGTATCATATTAAAGAAATAGAATCAAATTCAGTATGTTGAACACTGCAGCCCCATATATGTTCATCACAGAGTTGAGTCATCACTGTCAATTACTATACTCACTCTTCAAAGAATATAAATACACAGCATACTTCCTTTTGATTCTGCTACGTTTTATTTTACTTAGATGTCTCCTTACTCATTCAAATTCTACCACATTAGGTAAGGAGCATTTCTTGAGTAATTTATGCTTCATAGTTTTGCATGTACATCATTCTTTTCCTTCTGTGACAAGATTTTTATACACAGAAAACCAAGCTCTGGCAAGAATGACCTGTCAAGAATCCTAATAGCTTTATACTAAGTTTTCCCCCAGAAAATGATTCAATCAGACAACACAGTCAGACTCCTTCAGGGACATTTGGAGCTAAGAGAATGAAGGTAAGAGAATGCCAGTGTTTATAAGCCCCAATTCCTTTTTCCCGGTCAGATCTTACCAAAAGCTTGGGAATGCTACTTTTTGAACTGCAATTCCCAGAATTCTCCAGCTAGCACAGGCACCAGCTTGAGACTTGGGGCCTCAGCAGACGGCTTATTGAGCCGTCTCCGAGGCCAGGAAGAGGAGGGGCCACCGCACGCGCGGTGGCCCTTCCTCTTCCTGAGGTCGCCCTGAACACTTCCGGGCCACCGGACGCCCGGCGCGTTCAGGGCGACCTCCTCCCGCAGCGTCCGGACGCGCTGCGGGGGATAAGTCAGAGAAAGGGCACCCGCCGCTTTTAGGGCGCCCTTTTTCTGACTTATGAAAGGAGCGCCAATTTGGAGCTCCTTTCAGGGTCGCTCTAGGAGCGCTGCGGTGGGGCTGCCATAGCCCCACAGCGCTCCGGACCAGGGCGTCCCAAACACCCTGGTCTGCAGAGGGGGTGAGTTGCAATCCCCAAAACGAGTGTTTCGAAGCTGCTCATTTTCATCCAAATTTGGTTTCTCCTGGAGAAGACAAAAGCCAGCATCCTACCAACCAGAACACTGTTGAAGATAACCATTTAACTAGTTTCAAGGCCAACCAGGAAGCTCTACCAGGAAAGATCTCTATAGATTCTTGACATCACTTGTAAGCAAATACAAGAAACATTAATCATGTTGCTTTACATAAGCTTCTTCTATTGTCTCAGCATTCAGAATTAGTTTGGGACTCTGTTTCAACAAAGCTTAGAAACAAATATTTCCTTTGACAAAGTACTACATGTATCTACATAGAATTGACAACCTTCTTGAATCTAGTTATCTCAAGCTGGTTTAACCTATAACTCTCATGAGCCATTTCCAGCCAGCATAACCAGCCATCAAAGATAGTAGGTAAGTAAATCAAAATAACTTACCTCAAGATCATTCAAGACCCTAAGATTTCTGGACTAAAACTTGAGATGTATGGTGGCCCCTAGTGATGTCACTGTTATGTATTAAGCACCAAACACAACTGCTTACACCTTGTCATTCAAACACACACAAACAGAATATTTTTCCTGTTTGGAAATTAATGACACTAAGGGAGTTGGCATGATAAATATTTAATCAAGTCTGCTTGTATCTAGTCAGGGGGATGTAAGGCAGACTGGAAGGTCAGCCCTGACTTTACATTGACTGGCAAAGAAGAAAGAAGCTTGGAGAGTCTTTATAAATTTCAGAATTTCAGAAACAAATCAGTGAATCCTTTTGCATTGCAGCAAGCTGCTTCTGTAATAGCTGAGCTTGAGATCTGAAAACAGCTCTTTCCCCTTGCCTGGAGCTGAGCCAACTGGAGACTTGGGGCCAGGATCTGAAATCTAGCAACTCTAGAAAGAAGCCATGTTGGGAAAATCTGATAGACAGATACAGAAGTGTTTGACTACTTCTGTAGTTAAAGGGGGAAAATGGGAGACTAATTTTGCAGCAAAACTTTACTGTAGCAGCTGTGTTCTTTCAAACCCAGGCCTTATTGAGAGCAAGTATGGTGTAGAGCCAAGGTATGGGTCCTGCTTGACCATGGAAATCACTGGGTGACCTTCTGCAAGTCACCTTCTCGCAGCCTCTCCTTGTGATTTCTAGCAACTTCCAAAAGAAAATAAAAGGCAGCTCTTTCACTACTTTCTCAATGACTTCTCAGTCAGATTAAAACTTCATTAAGCTCATGCAGCTGCAATATTCCTTTTCACACACACCCCTTCCTTTCTTGAGTGCCAAGAGTATTGTAGCCAAAAAGAACTGCTAAGAAACAAAAGAGAGGTATCAGCATGTTTGCAGGAACACCAAGGTTTGCATAAATACAAAAATATTTCAGGTGAGAACAATCTAAATGAGGAAGGGGGGAAAGATTCAGAATAACTCAATAAGTCTTGTAAGGAGACATAGCTAGTTAGAACCTTCAACAGAAGCACTTCATACTGCAATATTTTGTTGCAGGTCCCATTTGTTTTTTCTAACAGCCACCTCCAGAGTTACACAAGTACTGAAGAATATGTTCTCCTCTCAGATTTTAATAATAATAATAATAATAATAATAATAATA